TAAGATATTATTTCTAGTTATTACGGAAAGTGAATATTCGGTGAAGGCCGTTCTCGAAAAATTTCATCAAAGACGGGAATTATTTAAATGATAATTAATCTATATATTTAAATATTAATTTTATTTTTTCTGCATTTATTTCTTTTTTGTTTTTTACTGCTGTTACCTAAGAATTATAGCGGGATTATTGACTGACCGTAGATTGAATAATCACAATAATCACCTATCGAAGTCATGAATTCAATGCAACTTAGACTGCAGATACTGTAGAGAAGAGAGAGAAACTGCATACCATGTGCTTGGGAAGTGTCCGGCACTGATGCACAAGCGGAAGAAACACCTAGGATGGTATTTCATGGATCATAAGGGTCCAAGACTAGGAGAGATAGGCTATATACTGTGTTTCATTAAAAAAATCGGACTTGGAGAAACACTCTAATTCCACTAAGGGGCACAATAGATCTTTTAGGTCGCAGTGCACGATCACTTCTTTTCAACAATACTTCTGTTAGCTGGTTTTTTTTGCTATATATATAGCTAGTATATATTTTCTTTTGCTAAATTGAGCACAGGCTACGTGCATGAGTAGAGTGAAGTGGGTTAGTTTGTAATTTGAATGAAATCAATTCACTAGGACAAATTTTTAAGTTTATGTTATTATCCACTATTATTAATTGATTTTTAATTTGATTTAACAGAACACAATAAGTATACATTAAGACCGAAAAGTTTTCGGAAATTCTCATTTAAAATTCGCGCGCTGTATATTTTTCGATATTTTAAGTTTATGTAGTTTGGCAGCAATTAAGGAAAATTACTATGCCAAAAATGAGCGCGATCTGTCAGACAGTTCGTTTACGGCAGCTGTTGAAACCAGTTCACCTCAGTAGTGCGTTGCGAAAAAAACAATGGAAAAAAATATTGAACAAAGAGTTTGCATCAAATTTTGTGTTTCGAACGAATTTCGTGTGCAGAATCGTTGCGAATGCTACAAAAGGCTTATGGGGAATCAGTTTTATCGAAAACTCAAGTTTATGAGTGGTACAAAGCCTTTCAGGACGGTCGTACGACCGTCGAAGACATTTGGCAACGCACTACTGAGGTGAACTGGTTTCAACAGCTGCCGTAAACGAACTGTCTGACAGATCGCGCTCATTTTTGGCATAGTAATTAAGGACAGGGCTGCCAAACTACATAAACTTAAAATATCGAAAAATATACAGCGCGCGAATTTTAAATGAGAATTTCCGAAAACTTTTCAGTCTTAATGTATATGCGTTTATAAAGTTATAACTATTTTATTGGTTTAAATCTCATAATTATTATGTACTATAACTTTACGTATTGTTTGTGTAAAGAACAATTTATTTCCGAAATTTAAATAAATTATTTATACATTTTTGTTTATGTGGGATTGATTGAATCAGTTACGGAAGAGCCAAATATATAAACAATCAAATTTGCTGCGTCAAAATAGAATAAAATTTCAATTGTTTATATAAATTTGTGTGAATCAACAATATTTTGCAGTATTTAAATTTTAAACAGTTGCAGAGCCATTTAAAAATATTTATATAAACATTATTTTTATTTATATTTATTTTGACGGAAGTATGAGTTTTCTTTCCCATTCATTTACAAAAATTCCCTGGCTGAAAAGTTTAATTATTTTAGGTAATGCCTTTATAAAATAATTCATGTTATATTGAATATTAACTTTTCTATTAGAGTTCGTTCTCTGGTCATGGTATTCAGAAATATATTCATTTTTTAAGTTTTATAGTACTTTTAGATTTTGTTATTAAAATAATATATTAAATAATAAAAGCAGTTAGTTTTGATATGATTTTATTCAAAATTCATAAATAATATATTAGAATCATACATTTAATTTAACAGGGGTTTGTTTTCTTCATAGCTAACACTGAAAACTTGTAAAGTAATGATATTGCTAATGAAACAACTTCATACTTCAATGGAAGTATAAATAATGGAAGTTCAAAAGTAATGACAAAACATTTTCTGCTCACTAATTAATAAGAGTGGGACCAATTATATGCAGGCGTAAGTCAACATGCTCTACTAAGTTTAGAACGATGACGAATGGCATACGTCTAATAGTTATATAGGTACAGACAAGACTCATTCGGTTAGTGTTACCAAACTCACCGTATATGTGTATCTATTTAAAACAAAATATCTGTTGTAGTGAGTGTGCTCTGCTAAACTAAGAGCTTCGACCTATTAAAGTATAAAACTTTAATTCTACCTTTGATTCTTACAATAAATCTTTAGTGTAAAATTTTATTTCCGGATCACTATCATAATTCATTTTAATCTCACTTATCTGATATTTCTTAAAATTTATATTATCAATCCAATATCCGAAACCCTGTTACCTATTTACCTAGTGTGGTTCATGTATCCATATAAAAAGATGAAGAAATTGTGCTAAGTTTGTGTGTGTATTCCAATAATAAATGTTTTTAAATGTAAGCAAATTCCCTTACCAACTTAAATACTTTTGAGCTTATGTAATCCACCTACCTATTTCACTACAATTCAACTCATCCTTGAGCTTCATTATTGTGTTGTTGTTTTTTGTTGTTGTTCTTTCAGAAAATACACAGTCACACGAAGGCGTGAGTCGTTGTTATTGGCTGTGGGTTGGCAACGCTGAACTTTCGCTTGAAACAGATTTGTACTGAAATATGAGGTTAATAAACTGAAAGTAGGTCACTAGAACAACATGCAATTTTTACACAACACCAAAAAGAGAGACAACAACATATCGAAGAGTGCAAGTGTGCAAATAGTTTTCACCGAAGTACACATTCAAGGCGCACGTAGCGCTGGAATGGTTGAGAGGCAGCATTGAAAAATAAATCCATATGGCTTACAAGTATAGCGTTCTTATGTTCTGGTTGTGCGTGATTGTGTGTGTGTGTTTACCTCAAACCTACAAAGTGGTTAAGGATGTGGAAATGTGGAAATAGCAGTGGATATAAATGTGGCTTCAACTAAAGCAATCTGAGTGGTAGTAAAATTTAAGATAGGAAATTTGTTTTGCGCAAATTACCTTATAGTATTGCATTTTTGGCCTCTAAAACAAAGAAACGGAAAAGTTAACCTGCTGTGCTTGAACGGCAAATAGTGGCACTATTTAAGGACCTACGGTAAAAGTGAGTTTCTGACGTGAGTTTTTTTGAATTTATATCGTAGGGGCGCTTTTGGTAAATTCTCTCTTTTTATTATTTAAGATTTATCGAATCGTGTCGTTCTAATGAAAAATGACTTTTTAGTTTGAACACGAACACAAAAGAAAAAATTGGGTTAAATTTCGACTAATGGAATTTCTAAAACTATTTTATATTTAAAAGTTTTGCAAGGAATTTTTGTTAGTGGCTTGATTAGATATTTAATCAGGCGATAAAAAAAAATTTCAATTAATTTAAGTATTTTTCGAAAAGAAACTTAAAGAAAAACAACTTAAATCAATCCGTTTGTTATTTTTGGCTTTATACCCAAAAGGGGAAGGGAAGTATGGGACTTATTACACAAGTGAAACAAGGTTATTTAGGACTATCCATGGTTTAGAAAGTAAACGTATATAAAACACACTTACGATTGAAATTTCGATCAAATTTTACTGTAATATATTGTTTGAATCTTATCATTATGTGTAGTAACATTCAACATCATTGAAATATCATCCACGGGACATTTTACAGCAGTAGATCCTTTTGATATAATCGCTAACTATAACAGCAATTCTGGTGAAGCAGGCCATTAGGTGTGAGATACAACATCATTTAAATGTCCTTAACATTACAATATAAATTATTGCTGGATTTATTATACTTCAGTACTTTGCTTAAGCATTTTGAAATCACTGAATGTATTATAATAATATTATATTTACTATTTGAACTTTTCAAAAATCATGGACAGTTCACACTATTCAAATTATTCAAAAACTAACAGCACCAGCAGATTAAAGCAAATTTAGAAAAGAAGTGTAAAGACATACCAGCCTATGAAGCTTATATATTTTAGGAACATTTACAAAATATTACTAGATCTGTGTTTCCATTTCTAAATAAATAAAATAAAACAAAATAAAATATAATAAAATAAATTAAATTAAATAAAATAACTTTTGTTGGTTATAATAAATATAATTTAATAATAAAATTTTCTACAAATTCAACATTCTGGAGCTCCAATCAGATTTGAGCGTATTTATTACAGCTATTTTACCATTATTATTTTTTTAGTTAAACTTATTGTATACAGCTAGTAAATTTAGATAATTAGTTAGTGGTGGGAGGAACGAGCCCTCCTTTATTTAGCTAGGAAAGCCGTTTTGAATCCACAAAACCTCGCAAAAGTGGGTAGTAGAGAGAAGAACTAGCCTGAGGCATTCATAAAGGCTAATGCTAAAGATATCGCCGAGTGTGTTGAAGAAGGGGGCCCCAGAAACTTAAGCCAAAATTTCGCCAAATTTAGATAATATGTAGTATTTTTATATTAAAAGCAGCAGATATAGCTTTCTCACAAATAAATAGTAAATGATTTTGTTGATTTTGTTTATTGAATAATGGATTGTTTGTTTAAAGAAGTTTTTTTATAATTAATGTTGCATTATTCAATTACTTCTAATTAAAAGAATACTTTTGTATAATTTAAATTTGATTTTTTAAGGTAACTGGAATTAAAATTCTTAAGTTGTCATTTGTTATGTTTGTGTAATGCGTATGACAACTAGACTCACCCTATTCACATGTCAATTGATTATTTTTGTAATCCGTATTGATTCAATCTTGAAGGGTTTCCCTGCTTGAAATACACTATTAAAAACTATGTTAATAAGTCTTTAAAAATTAGGAAAACATGAAATATTTCGAAAAACACGTTTCACTGCTATTGGTTAAGAAATGCAAATGATTTTTAAGAATTCTTATTCTTACTGTCACTATTAGATGGGGCATTTTCTTTATTTTTGGAATTACCTTTTGTTTCTTTAGTTATTTTGCATTTAGTAAATGTGTACTGGCTTTTTGTTGGTGGGTTTGTAAACTGGTGGCATTTTTGAGTCCCAGAAAAATAAATGATATACTGAGAGAAAGAAACCCAAACCACATAGACCACAAAAATATATCACAACCACTAAGTAACGTTTGAAACGTTCCGAAAATGTTGGTTCGGCAAATAAAATTTCTTCAGCCGTATCCTTGCTTAGACGCATCGATCCACCACTGCCACTGCCACTGCCACTTCCAGCATTGGTTGAGAAGTGCTTTACTGCTACCTCTTCTGCGTCACTTACAAATCTTTGTTCATTGTTCACATTAGTTTCAATTATATTCACAATATCAGCGATATCCGCAGGCATTATCACAAGATTTTAAATTTTATTAAATTAAATTAAATTAAAAACACAAATATTTAGTCAATTGTTTTCCGGCGATATTTTATTTTGATTGAAATTAAATCAAAATCGCGTGAGGGAATGAAATTTGAAAGTCAACTTTGTGAATTTTGTACTTAGCCAATTGGACATTTTAATAGTTTAGAGCAGGATTTAGACGAAACGAATGGATTAATTGTCGCAATTGTCGCAACAGAATGCATTGTCAACTTTTATATGAGCCACTTTTGATTCTCGAATTCAATTAAATAAACAACGAAGAACTGTTGAAAGAAAGTATTGAAATCGAAAAATGTGCTTCCATGGCGTAATTTAATCCGTCAATAATAAAATAAAATTGACGAATAAATAAAAAGAAACAAAGTGCCGAACAGAAAATATAATAAATAGAAAAATAGGTCTGGAATGTGTAAAGATTTGACTTATTGAGACGTTAATAGCGTAACCATTATCCGCTAAACTCAAAATTTTAAAAAAATTTAAAATTATTTCGGCATACCATATGGAGCCCAGGGAAGAATAGGGAAAACATTCAAAATTTCACAAAATTTTTTTACAACACATGTTTTTCATTTTTTAGTGCAGTTAGCTGACACTTTTGGGATATTATTTTACCGGTTTTTATTGCTATTAGCAGCTACTAACTAGCAGTTCGCTACCATTTTGAGTATTCTTGCTTCTATATACATATATCTATATATATATGTATATACATCTATATACATATATATATGATAACAGCATTTTATATGTAGTGTTTGCTATTTTTGAAATTAATCTAAAAATTATTGTTGTCAATTTTGTTTTAAATTGTATCAAACTGAAATTAAAAAATATTTATAGGTTAGGATAGGTTAAACTGACGATCCTTAGGATTAACTTAGGCGTATTGGTCCATTGTGTTGCAATATTGAATCTTTAGTAAAACCAAATGCTCTTTTGATGGAAATCCTGGAGTTAACCAAGATCCTTAAAAAAACCAATCCCATTAAATTGTATTTATAAGTTAACTTTTAAATGAAAACATTTTCAATTTCTGACTTTATTACTTTAGTAAATCATACTATGAAATTTTTTGGATGCTATCCTCTTTAATAGAAAACAAAATAAATTATATTCTACATATTGATCAATTTTTTCAACAATGATATAACATGATTCTCGGCATATGAAGCGGTAAAATTTAAAACTTTTACTTAATTAACCAACAACAACTTATTATTTATTATTAAAAGTTTTAACGTGAAATCACCCAACAGTCGGTACTGCGGCCAGAAGTGTCCTATTCTATCAATTTCGCTATTGATTACACAAAGTAAGGACTTTGAGTAAGCTTTAAAGGTAAAGCTCCAGTCCAGAGCTAAATCTAGAGAAGAGCTCTTACAGTCACAAAAAATATGCATAGCAGTTTTCTCATATTCAAGGTATAATCTGCATTTCAAATTAGCAGACAATCATGATGATATTTATGAGATGATATTTCAGGGCATAATGACCTGTAATGAAACCCGTTATTAACCTTAAATTACATTTAGAGAATTTAAGAATGGTTTTGTATTGAGTACGGTTTTATCAGTGCTTTGCTTTGTCTAAGTCCTGGGAAGTCTTCTCAGTACTCCAGCCGGTTTAACCCACAAAAGGGTTGATGGCTTAAAAAGCAGTTTTACAACAACAACTTATTAGTGTTAATAATCATTTATGTCATCCATATAAAATGATAAACTAATTGCCACTAGATATCGTAACTGGTCTTAATGTGTGAACACAAATAAAAAATTATATATTTTATTTTTTTTTTACTTTGATTATTTTTTAATTCACCGTGAGTTTTTTTGTTGTTCTCATCATTTATCTATATAAACAATGAGAAAAGTGTTTAATATTCGTATTATAATATTACATTATTTTGTTAATATTATTCAACTTCTACAATCTTGTTAATTACCTTTGTTTGTATTAATTTATTAATATAAACAAACTAGATTTTAAGAACTAAAAATTTAAATTTTAATTCAGAGGCATTGGAATAATTATTGGAGGATATTGGAGGCATCCATAACAATAGAATATAAATTACAGCAATCATAGAGATTTCATCGGATAAAGGAAACAATATAAAATTTATATATGCTTTATGTACAGTTTTTAAGAACTTGGGGTAGAAATCACGTCATGACACAAGTGCTTAGTATGCATCGCTTAAATTTGATATCATTATTATTATTGCTTATATTAATTCCTTCAAAACAATTATTTAAATAATTGAAGAGGCATTTCTGATTTGGATTAAACGTGTAAGTTCCAATTACATTTGTTCAATATTCTGCTTTTATCTCAAAAAAGTTGTTTTATCTAAAGATAGATATAGGCTTGCATATATAAAAATTCGTAAACAAATTTTGAATACTCGTTTGTTTCCAAATCTTGTACATAATACGATAGTCAGATTATAAAGATAAGGATTTTGATTTATGAATTTATAGATAGTCTTTTAATAACCCTAAAGAAAAGAATTTTAAACATTTTTTGATAAAATATTAATTTTTATGCAATAGTGTTTATTTCATTTCATTTCACTGCGTATAGAAATTCATAAATGAATCTTATAAAAATCCAATTAAAAATATTAATATCTGGCAATTCTACATTTTCACTTACCATTACATAGAAATTATAGAATGAAAGATATATCAACACGTTCCTTAACCAATATGATGTGTATGCTTATATTCTGGTAATGGCGGCATACGCGAGTCCCAAATGAATAAGTAATACATAGCGAGTGTCATACCAAGACCACCCACACCACCCATGTAGATGAATAACGTTAGCAGACGAAACGTTTTTGACTCAAAGAAATCATCAGATTTTGGAACTTGAATCTCGTCATCTTTATTGTTTGCGGCAGCAGGTGTGGCAGGTGCAGATGACATAATTATTTAATAACTTTTACGTTATGTTGCCACTTCAAATTAACTAATTAATATCTATATAACTATTTGTGTAAGAAACTATTGCGGTTTAAATTATTTTTGTCCACTTAAGTAAATGTCTCAAATAGAACTGAAAGGGCTTGCAATGAAACTGCAATGAGGTGCGAACCTCATATTTGCGGTTAAAAGTTACTCGCATGGTTTGCTTCTTGCTACTTTCAGTTTTTATTTTCCCTTCCTTTAATTTCTTAATGCATGGGTTGTACGCCTAAAGAAAAATATTAGTTGCAATAATAAAACGAATCTACAATATCAATGGAGTTGTCTTAGTTGTACTATAACAATATTTAAGCAAACAGTTGTGGTATTCACATTTTTAACGAGTCATGAAAAGTTTTTTAGTTTTTTCACTTTTTGATTTCTTAAAAATTAAACTATATTTTAAATATATTAGTACAATTAATTATAACCGCCATTGTACATTAGGACGAATGACATCCTCAGGGACCTCAAGATTGATCCGATCAAAAAATATATAAAGGATAGAGCCCTGAAATTATTTACGAATATTGACAGGCTTTCCAACACCGCGTTACCGAATCTTAGAATAGTTATAGGCACCTCGGGGAGGTATGCAAATCTGAGGGTAGTTATTGCTTATAAACAATGTGATAAACAATATAACAGTCAAGGCATAGAGAGGGGTTATGAAGAAACCTCCCAGTTAATAGAGAGTAAAAGTGCTCCATAATAATAATAATTATAAAACCGACATACACATGTAATTTAAAAACTATTATTGTTAAGCAAAATTAGTACTATATATTAATAAATCTTTAAAATAAGTAATTATACCAATGTTAAATTAAAAAAATATAATGCACATAAGTACAATAAAAAATATATTTCCAATTTGTTTATATGAAATGAAATGCCACTGCAACATGGTCTCTTATGCGGGTCTTAAACCGATCTACAGGTCATTATGTAATTTGGAATTTTTTCCTCCGATGTTGTTATTATAAACACTTCTTCAATAATACACTCATAACGCATATTTAATTATATTTTTTT